TGGGGTGGTGTGTGTGGGTGTGTGTGTGTGTGTGTGTGTGTGTGTGTGTGTGTGTGTGTGTGTGTGTGTGTGTATCTGTGTGTGTGTGTGTGTGTATGTGTGTGCGTGTGTGTATGTGTGTGTGTGTGTGTGTATGTATGTGTGTGTGTGTGTGTGTGTGTATATTTGTGTTTGTATCTGTGTGTGCGTGTGTGTATGTGTGTGTGTGTGTGTATCTATGAGTGTGTGTGTGTGTGTGTGTGTGTGTGTGTGTGTGTGTGTGTGTGTGTGTGTGTATTTGTGTTTGTGTGTATTTGTGTTTGTATCTGTGTGTATGTGTGTCAGGCGTGTGTGAGCCGCAGGAGGAGCCGCAGGTCAAGCGTCTGAAGGAAGTCGAGTCGTTCGTTCTGTCAGAGCAGCAGCGGAATCTGATACAGGACGACGAACCCAACAGGAAGCTGTGGGACGAAGCGCTGAGCTTCCTGTCGGAGGGACCGGTACACACTAAACCTTCAGACAAGTTTCATATGTATTTTATGTTTTGTATCATATTTGACTCGTCAGGCTTTTCTGGCTCATATAGTCTGATAGAGTGAGAATATGAAGCTCAAATTTATTCAGAGACAAAAATATGAGTTTGCTGCAGATGCTGATATTTCTATGATGAAATTCTGCTGCTTGTGATGTAAATCAGTGAGATCTTTATAACAGTAGAGCAGATACTGACATAAAATGATCTAAATATCAGTCGTGGCTCTATATCTCCAGTAATAATAAGATGAGATTGAAATGCTCCAAACATATAATGCAGTGATGGAGAGCTGAAGAAATAAAGGCTCCTCAGAAGATGTGAGATGTTCTGGAGGCTTGTGAAGATCATTCCTCCGCTGAGGAACAGTGAAAGTAAAGCTTCTGGAAACAAACGCTCCTCAAAAAAATGTTTTATTTCTGAATCATTTGTACGTTTGAGGATCAACAAGCTACAGCTGTAAACACACATTTGTCTCGTTGTAACAAATCAGCGTAGTGAGAACCCAAGTGAAGTTTTATTTACAAGTGTGATCCAAACATCCAAACAATATACACAGACTTGACTTGACGAGGCATGAACAGACTTGACTCACCGACAGCGGGTTACAACATCAATACACGACGAAGACTATGGGAACATGATGGCTACTTATATCAGACAATGAGGGTCACATGACAAGAACAAACCAATGGGAAACAAGACACATGACTAAGACAACCAATCAGAACATGACACATGAACCAAAGAACAAATCAGAACATAACACACAGACAAGGGAACCGCATGACAGAACATGAAATTAAACTAAGATCATGAATACAAAGCAAAAGACATGAACACCAACACAACCCAAAACCAACCCTGACATATCCCCCCCTCTAAGGGCGGCTCCTGACGCCCTAATATAACATCCAACCCAACCAACACCACAAAACGTCCAGGAGGGTGAAGGACTGGAGGTGGTCCAGGGGGTGGGATGGAGGGCCAGGCCCGTGAACAGGAACAGGCAGAGCGGGGAGCCATGGCGGAGCAGGCAGAGCAGGGAGCCATGGCAGAGCAGAGACATGGATAGACCACTTGACTGAGACAGAACAAGTAGAGAGTTCTTGAATGGCCTCCTTGGCTGTGACAGGGCAGACGGTGAGTTCATTAACAGCCTCTGTGGCCGTGACAAGACAGTCTATGAGTTCGTGAACGGCTTCTGTGGCTGTGACAGGGCAAGCAGTGAGTTCGGAAGCGGACACCACCTCTGGAGGTTCTGCAGCGGAAGCTACCACTTCTGGAGGCACTGTATTGGATTCATGGACAGGAGAGGCCTTTGGAGCAGACTCATGGATAGGAGAGGCCTCTGAGACCGACTCATAGGCAGTAGAGGCCTCTGGGGCAGATTAGTGGACAGAAGAGGCCTCAGGAGTGGACTCGTGGACAGGAGAGGCCTCAGGAGTGGACTCGTGGACAGGAGAGGCCTCAGGAGTGGACTCGTGGACAGGAGAGGCCTCTGGGGCGGATTCGTGGACAGGAGAGGCCTCAGGAGTGGACTCGTGGACAGGAGAGGCCTCTGGGGCGAACTCGTGGACAGGAGAGGCCTCAGGAGCAGATTTGTGGACAGGAGAGGCCTCAGGAGCAGACTCGTAGACTGGAGAGGCCTCTGGGGCAGACTCGTGGACAGGAGAGGCCTCAGGGGCAGACTCGTGGACAGGAGAGGCCTCTAGGGCAGATTCGTGGACAGGAGTGGCCTCAGGAGCAGACTCGTGGACAGGAGAGGCCTC